ATAATATTTTTATTATTTTCTTAAGAAGAAAAAAAGACTGAAAAGAAAAGAAAAAAGAAAAAATAGTAATTGATTCAGAAATATGCTATCTATAAGCGGACAAAGGAATTAAAGTACCAAGATTGTATGGTTAGTGCTCAGGACATTGGTGGTGAGAAGTTAATAATAAAAAACAAAGTACATTAAATTATTTTAACAATCTGAGTAAGGATTTGAATCTCTGAGCTATATGAGTTAAGTATGTGAGATGGGCAGCTATAAAAATTTACCAAATAAACAAATAAGTTAAATATACAAAAGAAAAAGGAAGAAAAACTACTAAAAACATTATAGATAAATATTAGTTTCTAACTTCCGCTTGTTGTACTCCAACTAATATACAATATTTATAGACATTTAACATGTTCGTATGTTTCTGATTTCAATTCTTTAGTCAGTTCTTTTTCCTCTTAAAACCATACTCTTAATTACTTATATTTGCCTTGCTGCATAATGTATAGTAGGTATGGAAGTCATTCTTGCTTAAATTGGGTTAGACCTCTGTTGTGAATGTATGTTGTTAATTTTGCCATTACTCCATATTCTCCAAGTTTAAGATCCCAGTCTGATATATTTGGCAATGTATCTCTTTTCCAACATTGTGCTAAATTTGTCCTTGCAGCCGTAAACATGTATCTCAGTAAATTGTGATATTTTTTAAGTGATTCATTCATTCATTCATTCATTCATTCATTCATTCATTCATTCATTCATTCATTCATTCATTCATTCATTCATTCATTCATTCATTCATTCATTCATTCATTCATTCATTCATTCATTCATTCATTCATTCATTCATTCATTCATTCATTCATTCATTCATTCATTCATTCATTCATTCATTCATTCATTCATTCATTCATTCATTCATTCATTCTGTAGGGAAAAGCATTGGGAAACCCCAGTACAGGCTGATAGCTGTAATTTCAGAATTATTTCTCAAACAAACTGATCAACAAATAGACTGGTTGCTTCCTATCCCAACTATTCTCCAATCTTCACAGATTGAATGAGGTTCACATATCGTACAAAGCCATAATTTGGTTAACCATCATTTACTTAACCTCAATTGGCAGGGCTTGAAAAGCACATTAAGTTATAAATTGTGGTTTACATACCACAAAGGCTGGGTTCATGCAACATACAAAACCAAAGCTAAATGAATCGTATTAAAGCTGAGCTAAAACCTCTCTTCTCTTATTGTTCTCTCCTGTACACAACCCACTTAACATGCAAGGACTCTCATTCTCTTTTCTCGTCTCCCTTGCCTCACTTTTTTGCTGATGTCTGACTTGCACACATCAAGAAAAATAAAACGAATGGAGAGTGAGGGCACACAATTCCCATTTTCAGTGTTCCCATTTCAGTCTTCTTTGCTGCTGATTCTGTGGAATGACACATCTGGATTGAACTGTGATTTATTTGCAAATACATTTCCTACCAGGTAAATTTAGCTTTTGCAGTCTGATTTGTGAAGAACTGATAGATAAAGGTCCTCCCTAAGTCTGTTCTAATCACATAATTTTAAGAAAAAAATATATTTTCCCATTACCTAGAGGATCTGGTGAGATTCTGAGTGGCTTCTGTCTCCTACTTTTCAGTAACTATACTTAGGATTTTAAACTGTTTTTCCCATTAGGAGACACACTCACTAATCCCACCAATTTTAACTATGACCATTCCTGCTTTTCAAATACAGCCCTTACCCTGAAAAGATTCTTACCAGAATTTTACCATTTTCACACAAAAGGAAAGCAACAAGAATAACTGGGCTTGTCTTTTGCCTAACAGTCCAGTTTAGTAGCTATTTAAAGTAACTTTCCCCACCCTACTACCCTTAAAAAGTATTGGGAAGCAAGTTGCGATTCCAGAAGATATAATCCAGAGGGTGCTCAACTGAAAAAGGCTGCCATAAAATTGACCACATTTCTTGGTTAAAGAAACAAAGTTAAATCCTCGTTGATTGGCTAGGATAAGGAGAAATTGATGGCTTACCATGATGCATAAAACCATTGTTGCAGAGCCCGACCCCCAGTGCAACAGCTTCTTCTCTGGTCTGACAGTCTCCCTGGTAACAAGAAAGGATAAATGTTACACCCTGGGCACATCCTAATTGAAACAATCCTACCACAACTAGACCCCAGCTCCCAAATGAATAGGACAGTCTTTACAAAGAAACAATAGCAAGTAATTAAAACAGGACTCCCTTTGCTTAAATCCCATCCACTCCTAAATATAGTACCTTTTGTCTTCCTCAGGATTGGGAAAGACAAAGACCAGAACCTCATAAAGGATCTGTTTTAACAGTACACAGATGTAGCCTGTTGTCTCTACACAGAAGCCTTCTTTACCAGCAATAATCAAAGCCATCTATAGCTGGCTACATACCATAAAACATCAGAACAAGAGGCAGCAGAACCTACTGAAGGAACACAGGTAATGATTCCTTATTCAGAGTTCCCAAAGGTCAGATTTGATAGTGTATAAATACAACGTAAATATGAAATATCATGCCTGTATCCCCAATGAAAAACAGCTGCTTAAAATAATACATATAACCTCAGTCACATTATTTCATTGTATTCAGGCTAACATTTCTAGGAATGATGTAAAAGGTGTTTTTGGCTGACAAGAAAAAAGCAGAGAAAAAAAGAACACATTTATTTTGGTGCCAGATACCCATTTTATCTGCCCAACCATTTGTGTGGGTGGCCTCTTGGAATGGAACCATATAGGCTCAACTCCATATGGCAAGCAGCTCATATGAGCCTCTCCAATGAGATTTGGGCAATTTTAACATTAATAGTGTAATTTCCTCTCTTTACCAAAATATAACTCCCACTGGAATACATTTCTCCTCTGCTCCACTTGAACTTGAAAATACTTTCTCATTCGTCAATTGTAGGAATGTTGCAATGGATACTGCGTAGACAATGTTGCATGGATACTGTGTAGTTGCAGTTCCTGGCCCACTCTAATATGTATAATTTCTTATTGGAACAGTCAGTTAAATAGATATCCATAAATTATGTTTCACTTGGCTTGAAGACCCATCTGACTGCCTTCCTCGGATTCATGAAGGAATCTTTCCCAAGTCAAACTAATCAATGATTTGGTGGGAAGGCTTATTTTCCTCTCCAGTTGGTAGGATGGAGTTATGAGTTTTGCAAATTCCTAGAACTTTGCCCAGCAAAGTTAATTTAGAAAGGGACAAAGGAGGGAAGATGGATAACTCTGTCTGCTAGGCAAGGGGTTGGAACACACAGCACTTCTGACCCACTTCCTGTTCTATAGCTGGACAAATCTCCATGGTTTCCAACTATATATATGCAGGATAAATTATGGCCAGGAACCTTCAATAGCAATAGGATAAAGTAGATTCATTTGGCTTAGCAACTCATTCACACTCTGGACAATAAACCAAACAAGACAAAGACCAAATGTTGTGGTAACTACTAAACAGTCCTTTTACAAGTAAGTCTAGAGTACCTAATAGTTTCTAGATGACACTATTATATGCACCAAACCCCTCAATTAGCTGTTATAATTATCAACACTCTTTCCAGCCTTTTCCTTATCTCATGATGAGAAAAAGAAAGGGAAATTAAAACTTCTGTTTTGCTTACCTTTTGTCTCTGAAGCAGCTGCTTTGCCCTGTGAGATTTGGGGAAAGCACTGCACCAGGATGAAAAAGGAAACAAAGCAATCTCTCTTTTTGTCCCTGGGTGTTGCATCAAAAATAAGGTACTAATTGGAAATGAGTAGCAAGACTGTTCTTGATGAAAGGCTGTCTCCAGCACTTGGTACTTGTAATAGCTGTGGAAACTAAGAGATGATAGGGCTACCAGATCGGGGCTGCAAAAATCTGGACATTCGCTAGATGACAGCAAACAGAGCTGTCTGTATCACTTTGCTGTTGAGTGGTCATCTGGATTTCTGCAGCTCAAATCTGGTAACTCTAATACAGTGTTTCTCAACCTTGGCAATTTGAAGATGTGTGGACTACAACTCCCAGAATTCCCTGGCCAGCATGGAATTCTGGGAGTTAACATCCACACATCTTCATGTTGCCAAAGTTGAGAAACACTGCTCTAATAGATGCAATAAGCAAACTGAGACTTAGGTACAGTTGCATTTAGAAACTGCTTTGACCTGTGACTGGGTTGTGCAATTTAGGCAATAAGTATAGTTTCAAACTATTTTTAATTTCGATCAACCACACAGTATCAGTGCAGAATAAGCAAATTCTTTTCCTTAGTGAGCAAAGTGTACAGAACATGAAGTGCTGATCAACTCTATTTCACAACTTTTTAGTTGCAATATTATTTATATGCTTAACATGCACCTCTCCCATTTCAACATCCTGCCACATGGCTACTTTGCTTAGAATATTATTGGAGGAAACAGTGAATTTATAAATACTACCATCTAATTTTATCCCAAAATGAATTTAAAACTGACATCTGTTTGACACCGCTCTTAAGATAGCCGTTGGAAATCTGCTTTGATTACAAGAAATAGCACATAAAAACAGTGACACAAACTTGGCTGGCAGTCCTGATAATGCAACTTGGATTCAGATATTACCCTTTGCAAAACAGCAACATTCAAGTCAAGAGCTGACTGAATCTATAACATCTCAAATGCTCTCTACATCGTTGGAAATATAATACAAAAGCTTTCCAAATGGAAACAGAATAGCAATAACAAAGTAGGAAGATCACTTCTAGGTGTTCAGATAAAGAATTCTACATAGTTGACATCTAAGCATAGCTGGAAGTCAAATCAGGCCTGTTTCTCGTACCCTGACATAGGATTAACCAGGGACAATTTGTTCCAGGCCACAAAAAATTATTCTACATTAAAAAGCTATTTAAAACAGTGTTCTGATAACAGATCTGACATTTGTCTTTCACAAGAGCAGTACTGTATCTGGATACCAACAGCGGTATCTGGATTCCTATCTTGCTTCTAAGCTTCCCAAAGGTATCTGGGTAGCCACTGTGGGACACAGGGTACTAGAGGACTAGCCCTTCAATCCTAAATCTTTTTATTAAAGGCATGGGCTGTTAAGTAAAAGACAGGTCCATGCAACATCAGCAGAATAATAAGGCATGTGGTCTTGTTTTAGAATTGTTATGTGCCCACCCAGATTAAGCACTTTTAGTTATTAGAACATTAAAAATGACAATCTGGAACATCCTTATTTTATTTCCAGCAAGAACAGAAGCAAATATTTATGGGGAAAACTTATATCTAAAGTTAACAGGTGTTCCAAAGCACACAGAGCACAAAAAAGGAAGTTCTTAAAAAGATATTTTTCTGCTATAGGTTGCAGAATTTATTGTTATACATGCAGAACATCCATACAGAAGCAGATGGACACTTTATTTCTAAATGTTCATGCAAGTGATTTAGCATTTAGGACATTCCAGCACTGACTTTGAGCTAAGAGAAGAGATAGACACTACCCCTCCATTTTGCTATTCCTCCAGCCATACAGCAATGCTCTACACTTCACAGACTAGATGAGCTATGTATGGATATACATAGTTAGAATAAAAATTATCCACACATGTCTGAAAAGGTGTGGGGAAAAATATATCGCCCTTCAAGTTCTCTAAACAACTATCCTAAATAATCATTTCAAAACAAGGGTAGACGCTTTCCTTTCTTCACACTTGGGTAATCAAAGAATATCCAGAGTCCAGCAGCTGAAAGTCAGTTCTCTAATAAGACTCAACTTGAACCTATTTACTTGGCATTTCAGGTCATTTTTAATGTTTCATTGATTTTATTGTAATTTCTTTGATTGTTGTGACCCATCAACAGTCAGGCAGCATACAAATAATCTCCTCCTCCTCCTCCTTCCTCTTCCTCCTCTTCTCCCCTTTCTTCTCCTTCTACTTCTTTCATCTTTGGTCAAGGACCAACCATATTATTAATTGCTCACCACTTTTATCTACTTAACTTGTCTTTCCCAGTTGGTGCCTTCAAATAGGTTTGTTTTCAACTCCCATAATTTACAGCCACATCTAAACGACACCAATTGGATAACATGAAATAAATGTTTTATGTTTTTATGTTTTAATTCTGTGCAGAATAATTTTATGGAATAATATTGCAAAATATGAAAGAGTTGAGTCTGAATTCAAAGAAGAGAAACATCAATATCTGTATGATCTCATTACCTGAGCAATCAACCAATCCACCAGTTTATTTGCTGGGATCACTGACTTATATGTCTTCAAGTGATAATCTCTGTCTCTATATCAGAAAGGAAAATTAAAAGATTGTTAAAAATTATGGCTGGCCAAACACATTTTTAAAAAGTCAATGCCACATTTTAACTGGGGAGAGAAATTATAGAAAGAAAACCAGTTCTCTGTAGAGTTTTTGCAATTTATAGTTCAGATATCCAACTGCATGCTGTAAAAGGGAGACAGAATGGCCTGGAAGGACAGGAGGAAGAGCTGCTGCTAAGGTAATGGTCAGATAAAAGGGGCCTGGGCCTGGGCCAAGTAATGAGTGTAGTTCACACAAAGATAATGGGAGGGAGGAGGGAAGTGCATTCAGGCCTGAAAGATTCTGTTACTATTGCTATTACAATTAAAGTAGTCCTGACCTACATTGCATTGATTTCCTAGTCTGGTCTACCATGAAGGGCTGATACAGCCTTTTCAAATCTAGTCTTATCTACATGTGTGGGGTTGTAATTCCCAGAATTCCATTTGGTCATGCTGGTTGAGAATTCTTAAAGTGAGAATTGGAAGCTACTAGATTATAAAATGCTGCTTCAATGTTACTATTACACGTAATTATGGCTTTTCTACAAGCCAGAGGAAGCAGAATTTGACCTAAAGCTCCTCTAAGAATGCACCTACTCAAACTTTAGCATAATTCCCACCAGTCGTATACATGTTACCTCCCATTTTATTATAACATTCTTTGAAACAGAAATGTTATGTATGTTTGCTGTACCTTTATGTGTCAACAGAGAGTATGAGCTATAAATCTCCTTACTAGAATTATTCCCAATCATGTCTGACCTTATTTTCCACCCAACTTTCTAAGATGGGGACAATGATAGTTCAGGAGTTTTGCTTGCCAATGCTGTTCAGCCTGATGTCATCAAAATGCCACCACTAATTCCATACATCAGGGTCAGTATCACTTTCTTGACTAATTGATTATTCCTTTTTGTTTCACTTTTAAATTATTTTTAAAGGCATGGATGAAGCACAAATACACACAAGACATACATACACACATTCATTCACAGACTTTAAAGCGTCACTTCCCCATCTTAGAGTTCTGTTGTCCCCTAGGATAGTAGTGTTTTCAATAAAGCAGAACTATGGTTCATGAGTTATGCTGGTTTTTGACCGTAATAAAGATTTGATTGATTGATGGTTCGTGAGATGTTTCTATGCTCCAAAAAGTATTAGCATGACAATGACTGGTTACTCAAGTCACGGCATCTCTATGAAAACTGAGGGATTAGGGGTCAATTGCAGAAACTGGGATTCCAAATCGTGATGTGATCAGTCGTTTCTTCTGAAACATCCTCTGTTATTTAACCTAACAATAAGGCTCATCTGAAAGCTGAAACAGGGAATCAGTCAATGATGTTTCAGTATACCAAATAACCAGATTTTGTTAAAACATATAATGATGTTTTAATTATAAAACATATGATTAAACATTAAGCTAAAATAATTTTCCAGATTGCTTGCTTGCTAATTGAATTATTTATTGTATATTTGCTCTTCCACCTAAGAGAATCTTAGGTTAATTTTTTAAAAGAAAATATTGGAATGCATTTCAAGAAACATAGTTTGGGATAAATTATATAAATTATCTAAATTATTTTTAGAAAGTTATGTTATAAGAGACAATAGAACCGGAGTCACATAAAGTCTTAACTAGCTGAAAACATAGTCAAGAGAGAGAAAGCAAGTTCTCCTAAAGAGATAGCAATTTATTGCTGGTTCAGTAACAAAAGGGAGAAAATTCCAAATGAGGTGAGACATAGTATGAAGATCTCATAATAATGAACTTACTTTATCACTGGAGTGTACAGACTGTGCAGACGACAGTAGAGCCTCACACCCTACAAAGAAAAGCAAATGGCAAGGTTACATTCATTAGAGTTTTATCAAACACATACAGAAGAGCAGTAGTACACCTGAGTAAACCACTGCCTTGCTGATGGACTTATACTATAATAGTTCACCCTCTGCATTACAATAAAAATAGAAACATTTAACTGAAAAACATGCAGTGTATGTTTTACTAATTTCACAATGACCCCCAAATATCTTGAACTAGAATATTTAAAAGCAACCATTTTCCTCTCACAACTGATACTGAGTTAACTAATCTTCCACTCAACTTTCCTTGAATAGACACCGAAAATCTATGCAGTTATAAAACATGCTGCTGCTGCTGCTGCTGCTGATAACAACTTATATACCCCATATTTCTAAAGAAAATAAAATTTGAAAGTGTTGATGTGAGAATAAGGAAACTGATCCTTTACAATAAAACAAATAAGCAAACTTTTATCAACAATGTAAAATAAGTTTTAGATAGTTGAAATCTCTTGTATTATTAAGGTAACACATAGTTTTTCCACAGTTCCAGCAGCAACAACAAAAATACCTTAGACATGATGTCTTCTAATTCACTCCTTGGCTTATATGTCCCATCATCATAACGAAATCTGTACATCACCTGTTCGTTTTTGAAGTGGTGCTTATCTGAAACTGAATCATCAAGAGTAATAATCAACAGCTTATTTTCCATTCTCCAGCATGAAATCCTCCAAACAAAAATATCCATAATTTGTTGAAGAACAAGATTTGGTTACTATAATATTTTATAGTATTTCTTGAACAAAGGTAGTCCTCGACTTACGACCACAATTGGGACTAGAACTTCCATCGCTAAGTGATGTGGTTGTTAAGTGAGTTGTGCCCAATTTTATGACTTTTTTGCTATGGCCCTTAAGCAAATCATGTGGTCGTTAATCTAATCCGGCTTCCCCCATTGACTTTGCTTGTTGGAAGCCCCCTGGGAAAATCGCAAGTGGTGATCATGTGACCCCAGGATGCTGCAACCATCATAAATACATGCCAGTTGCCAAGCGCCCGGATTTTGATCATATGACTGTGGGGCCACTGTGACGGTTGTTAAGTGAGAGGACCGGTCATAAGTCACTTTTTTTGGTGCTGTCATAACTTTTAACGGTCGTTAAACAAATGGTCATAAGGTGAGGACTACCTGTATGTGAACTGGTCAGTCCCCAGTTACCATTGTTAAGCGAGGACCACATGGATCACTAAGCGAGGACCTCACATGATCGCGACTTCTGACTTCCTGCCAGCTTTCCCATTGACTTTGCTTGTGGGAAGGCGGCAGGGAAGGTCAGAAATTGCAATCACGTGACTGCAGGAATCTGTGACAGTCGGAAATCTGGGCCAGTTACCAAGTGCCCAGATCGCAATCACATGACTGCAGGGGTGCTACGCCAGCTAAAACTTCAAGGACCAGTTGTAACTACCACTCGTTCAGCGCCATCACAAGTTGAATGGTCGCTGAACAAGTGGTCATTAAACAAGGACCACCTGTACTTAAACATAAAAGTTTGTATTAAATAGTAGTTGTTTCTTAGCAAAACATTTTTCTGCTTGCACAGATCACTGCACCTACACCTACTACAGCTGTTGACATCCTTGGGAGATAGTACTGGAAGTATATCTGCAACATTTTCTGTGCCACTTGGGCTCTGAGCATACACATGGTCCTCGCTTAATGACTGTTCATTTAATGATTGTTCAAAGTTACAACAGCCTTGGAAAGATGCTTTATGACCCATAAAGCAGTTCCAACCATCGTAAAATGTTGCGCCACCCATCCTTGCAGTCACGTGGCCGCATTTCAGGCTCTTGACAACTGACTCGCATTTACAACAGGTTGTCAAGGGTCCTGCGAAAGTCAATGGGGAAGCTGGCAGGGAAGGTTGCAAGCAGAGGGGATGGAGGGATCCTTCTGTGTGCTACAGAAATGGAGCTGAAATCTTCAGGATTTGACCTCCATTTCTGCAGCCCCACAAACGGTTTCCCCTCCCGTCTCTGTGTGTCTCACTTAACAACCGCTTCTCTCAACAATCAAGATTCTGGTCCCAATTGTGGTCGTTAAGCGAGGACTAGCTGTATAACTATTGCCAGGTAAAGGTGATATATTAATAATTTATATTTAAATTAAATTTAAATTAAATATAAAATTGCTCTCCATTTATGTATTTAACCATTTACTTTTCTGCCTTTTCTGTTATATTACATATTACAATTTAGAAACAACATAAACATCTAACTGGAGACCACATCTAAAGTTTTCTAGATATAGAAAGTAAGGAAGATAACCTTGATGGAAATATGAAGGAACCATTACCTAGGTAAAAGGGGCTGAAATATTTTTTAAATCCAGAGCAACAAGCTAACATTCAGAAGTGACTCCAGCAGATGCCTCCCTAATTCACTGAAGTACAGTGGTACCTCGGGATACGAACACCTCTACTAACGAACTTTTCGGATTACGACCAGCTCTGGCCGCAAAAATTTACCTCGATGTCCGAACTCCGCCTCAGGGTATGGTCATTTTTCCGCCCTGACACGTGGTCCGCGGCCATTTTTCCGCCCCTGACAAGTCCGCGGCTGTTCTCCCGCCACGCCGCGCCCAGCCGTTCTCCCGCCGCGCCCCGCCG